GACAAGAATATACCACAAATGGGATGGCTTTAACAAACAGGAGTTTATTCTCTTACAGTTTGGAGGCTTTAAGTCAAAATTCAAAGTGCCAGACTCTAGGGGTTGGGTGAAAGTCCCTCAACCTTGGGGTTCAGCTCTGCCTCCTGTTCCCAGCCCACTGGAGCTAGAGACATTTCTTCACTCAGCTGCTAGCTGCTAAGGCTGACAAGCCCACGATTGACAAGTAAAAAGGCACAGTCCCAATGTTACCAAATTCCATGGTAGGCCATTAATTCAAGTCCATTGTAAGTCCCAAGGTCGGGAGAGCATGGCAGGCTGCTGAACAATGACACAGCTATATGCAGGGTCCAGGCATGCCATAAGCTAAAGACTATCCCCAAGGCTTTTCCTTATATACAGAAAGCAGACCACATCCCAAAGGCAGCTACTCAGCTGCTTGTAGTTGATCCCACCATGGAGTTGATTGCCAGTCTCATCATGGGGAATAATTACCACCAGGTTCCCAGCCACTCAACCAGGCCCAGCCAAGCTGACATACAAATTTAACTACCACACATACTTTGGTCCTGTTGTCAAATGGGACCAGTCCCTGGAGAAGGATATCATAGTTGGTAAAGTGGCATGTCAACAAAAAAAGGGGAAGATCCTCACCGAGATGGATTGATTGACACAGTGGCTGCAACGACAGACTCAATCATAGCAAGGATTGTGAGGATGGTGCAGGACTAGGCAGTGTTTTGTTCTGTTGTACATAGGGTCACTATGAGTGACGGTCGACTTGATGGCACAAAACAACAACATATGCATATGAGACCATGAATAAAGAGGACCACAGAAGAATCGAGGCATTTGAATTGTGGTATTGATGAAGAATACTGAAAATACCATGAACTGCTAGAAGAACAAACAAATCTGTCTTGGAGGAAGTACAGCTGGAATGCTTCTCAGAAGTGAGAATGGCCACAATTTGTTTCTCATACTTTTATCATGTTGTCAGAAGGTTCCAGTCTCTGGAGAAGGATATCATGCTTGGTAAAGTAGCAGGTCAGCCAAAAAGGAGAAGACCTTCAACGAGATGGATTGACACAGTGGCTGTGACAGTGGGCTCAAGTACGGCAACAATTGTGAGGACGGTGCAGGACTAGGCAGTGTTTCGTTCTGTTGTATACAGGTTGCTATGAGTTGAAACCAACTCAAGGGTACCTAACAACAACAGCAACTATTTTTGCAGAATTACCTGTTACAGTAATTATGGTAGTCGGCCTTTATTCTTGCATTCCTTTCAGTGTCTTCCTTTGCTTTGGTCATGTGCTGACTTCCTCTATATTATGTACTGCTTTTCTGTTCACTATTATTAACATCTAGGGAGCTCTGGGAGCTCTGGTAGTGCTTAAGCCATCTGACTGCTAACGAGAAGGCTGGTGGGTTCGGAAGAAAGGTTGGGCAATCTACTTCCGTAGTGATACCACCTCAGAAACTCAAGGAGGGGTTGCTATGAATCGGGTCCGACTCGAAGGCGTTGAGTTTGGTTTTGGTTTGGTAGTTAGTAATTTTCCTTTCCTCTCCTTCCCATCTTGGCAACAACAAAGAATGCTGTTTGTTTCTGTGTGTAAACCTCTTCTTGATTTTTTTTTTCATAATCATGGTTTCATACAATATTTATCCTTTTGAGACTGGCTTATTTCACTCAGCATAATGCCCTTCAAATTCATCCATGTTGTGAAACGTTTTGCAGATTTGTCATTATTCTTTATCTTTGTGTACTATTCTATTTTGCGTATGTACTATAGTTTGCTAAACCATTCATTTGTTGATGGGCATTTAGGTTGTATCCATCTTTTTACTATTGTGAATAATGATGCAATGAACATGGGTGTACATATGTTTATTCATGTCACAGCTCTTATTTCTGTTTCTCTTATTATTGTGATTTGGGTAAAAGTTTATAGAGCAAATTTCATTCTCCAAACAACAGTTCATATACATTTTGTTTCATGACTTGATTGTAATCCCCACAGTATAACAGTCCTCTTCCCATTCCCTCCCTGTGGCTATCTCTTCTCTGTGTCCTTCTTTCACATGCATTCCTGCCCTCTGAGCTATCTCCCTGTGCAAATACTGCCTTTCTGATCTCCCATGGTTGATTGTTCTAAGGAGCATATCCACCTGGTATAAACGTTCACACTATATGCCTTTTTATTGGTTGGCTAGAAGTCACAGGAATGAGTTCAATTCTAGCCCTAAGGGTGACTAGGGGGTCATAGTCTTGGGGTTTGACCAGTCTCTATCAGACCAGTAAGCCTGTTTTTTTTTTTTTTCTTTTTTTAATGCTTTGAGCTTTTCCACATTTTTCTTGCACACTGTTCAGGATCTCCCATTTTTATCCCTTTCCAAGTGGTTGACAGTGGTAGCCAGGCACCATCTAGTTCTTCTGGTCTCAAGGTCACGTCGACTGAGGTTCACATGGTCCATTAGTCCCTTGGACTAATTGTTTTCATGTGTTTCTTCATTGGTTTTCTTCATTCTTCTTTGCTCCAGATGAGGAGAGACCAATTGTTACATCTTAGATGGCCACTTGCAAGCTTTTAAAATCCCAGTTGCTACTCACCAAAGTAGAATGTAGAACAATATTTTTTGGGGTACATTATTCCAATTGAGCTTGACGTCCCCAAAACCATGGTCCCAACCCCATGGACCCATCAACTTGTTCCCTCAGGGTGGATGGCTGTAGCTAAGAAGTTATGATAACTTTGCCCTGTTAGCTCTATTATATATATGGACATTCTTATAGCACATACTAATAACATATGGCTAAGGCATTTGACTGCTAACCAGAAAGCTGGCAATTCAAACCCACCAGGCACTCCTCGGAAGGAAGATGGGGCAATCTACTTCCGTAGTGATACTGCCTTGGAAACCCAAGGCGGGGTTGTTGTGAGTCAGGTCCGACTTGATGGCACATAACAACAACAAACTTATATATGGCCATGGGTATATTTCCTTTTGCTTAGATATACCTAATAATTCAGCCTGTCTACCTATGCATCTACCTGTAGATTAATGTTTGCTATTACTCATAATGCAGTATTGTGTATGTGAAAGTGTTTATCTTTGCTGTTTGTATGCCAATTGAGCTTGATGTCCCCTGAGACCATGGTCCTGAGCCCACGGGCCCAAAAACTTGTTCCCTCAGGGTGTTTGGCTGTGGCTAAGAAGTTATCATCACTTTGCCCCTTGTTAGCTCTATTATATATATGGACATTCTTATAGCACATACAAATACACATGTAGAAATATCATCCTGCCAGCCTTATATATGGTCATTGGTATATTCCCTTTTATCCTAGACATACCTGATCATTCAGCCTGTCTACCTATGTATCCATCCACAGATTCATGTTTGTGTGTGTGTTATTTCTTTAGGGTATATATCTAGAGGAGGGATTGTTGGATCATATGGTATTTCTACTTCCAGCTTTTTAAGGAAGAACCATATGTTTGTCTATAGTGGTTGTACCATTTTAGATTTCCACCAGCAGTGTGTAAGAGTTCCAATCTCTCCACAACTTCACCGTAGAGATACCGCCTTGGAAACTCAAGTAGGGGTCACTATGAGTCAAATTGACTACACAGCAGTCAGTGTATTCAATATAGAACATGCTTCTAAATGTTCTCTTTATATTCTGAGGAATATAAAGCTTTACACACTGTTTCTTATAACCAGCATTATAGCATTTGCATATGAAATTATAATACAATTCTAATTGTTTCATAATGCTATAGGTGATATTTGTTGTTTCTGCTTGGGCAACAATTTCTACCCTTTTCATTGGCAAAGGCATTCTAATTATTGTTTAGGGAACTGCCCTTTCCCTATTGCATGCAGTTCTGTCATGCTTGTAACTCAAGATGTTCTGTTATTTTTTCCTTGGCCAAAGGGGGCTTTTATAATGCAACAGAGCCGCCCAATCACATGCTCTTCTCATTCTGAACTTGAGTAAAGTGACACATAGATACAAAACAGCTATAACTGATTCATTCAGATGGAAAAGACTGGCCATTTGTTCCTGCTATTCAAATCCCTGGGGCTTTTTCTGAGGCCCTTTGATGCAGCACTGTTGTTGCTTTCTAGCTACAGTATAGGATACCAGCTATAGACATATATTTACCTCAGAGCTTCATTTCTTCTATCTGTAAGTACTTTCAGGGTTGTTATGAATATAAAATAGTCAATCAACTAGTAAAGTATCTAGTAAAGTATTGGGCATATACTTCCAATAACTTTGTTTATCTTAAGTTAGCAATAGTCAGTTTCTATTGCATGCAGTCACAGAACCTTACCCAATACATGTCCACAGGACTAATCGTGCCCCCTGCTAATGCCTTTAGTTGATGCCTTTGCTTGCCACACTCCATGGTTGCTTCTGCTTCTTTGGCTTATGGTGACATTATTTCTACTAGGGTCAAATACTTTTCCAGTATTTGGATGTTCGATAAATACTATTACTATTCATATTTTTTACTTCATTATGAATTCTTAGTTCTATAAGTTAGGAGAAGTAATTTTATTTAAATGAACATTTCTTCAACATAGCTACCAAGTTGTTTTTAAAAACACCTTTTGTATATACACAAAAAAATGAAAAGGGGCTCTCCCAATTAAATGTTATAAATTTTTAAATTAGGAAGTAAAATTGTAAACAATTTATAAAGAAAGTATAAATATGAGAATGTGAAGAAGTACAATAACTATGGATAATGCTATACAACTTATCAACCATAAAACTTAGTTAATTTTTCTTTTTATAATATATTTATACCTGTAAAAAAAATTTTTTTAAACCAGCAACAATCTGTAACATTCTGTCCTTTACTTATATCAAGTTAAATTGCTACAATAAAGATTACTTAAGGAATAGAAGACAATGATTTTAGGAGCCTCTAAGAAAAAGAATATATAGTATGAATACATATTATAAAATGATTGCAATAAAACATACCAATCTGCTGAACATGTCACAAGTTGACAGCATATTTCACTTCGATTCTCATAGACAGAACCCATCCTATTAATCTATTTGAAGAAAAGCAAATCATAACAAATAAATGTGTATGTACAAAACAGCAATGGTTTTTTTTCTCATAGCTTTAAGTGGTTTTTACCTTTTAAATTTTTTCTTCTTTTTTTTATAGTTTTATAATAAGAACATAACATTATCACAGGCATTTGTATAACATAAGATTTTAAAATCAAGTACAATTCTGCCATATATTCTTTTCCAGTCTTTTTTCATAGAAACATTTTTACAGTTTTAATTAAAATGTCCATAATATTTTATTCTGAGATTGTACTTAACATTCACACATTTGAATATTTACTTATATATTCATAACATCATTTAAATAGCTTATAATATTTGATGTGGTAGGTGCTGTACCAAAATTTAATTATCCATTATTATTAGACATGTAAGTTCTTTCAGTTCTTCAGTATTAACTGTTGAGCCAAACATAGGAACTTTCATTCAATTGTTACAAAGGTAAAGTCAACAGAAAAGAGAATTAGTATTAAATAAGATACCAGTGGTGAGCAGTTCCCAGTGACTTCTGCATTTTCAGGTGGATTAGCAGTAGATCTCTGCAAGCCCACATAGGATTTGCAGGAGGATTTATGATTCCCTCAGGGTACCAAAATAATTAAAAAAAAAAAAAAAAAACAGGTGCTGTCAAGTCTATTATGACTCGTGGTGACCCTCAGTGTGCAGCGTAGAACTATACTCCAAAGGGTTTTCAAGGCCAGGGCTGTCTTCCAAGGCACCTCTGCCTGGGTTCAAACCACCAACATTTTGGTAAGTCAAGTACACTAAAAGGTCCACAATTCCAATCAACTAGCTTGCAAAGTAAAAAGTTTTGTGGCAACCTGAATATGAAGGCATCACTCTAGAATCTACTTTTCCACCTTCCTGATAGAACTGATGAGCACAGTAGTAAACAAATGTGAGACTTCCAGAAGCAAAGAAAGGAGTGAAGGTAGGACAGGGAGGAAAGATAAGAACAGGGGTCCTGGTGAGGACTGTCAGGTGTTACAGCAGCTGTTGTTGTTGTTGTTGTTGTTATGTGCTGTCGAGTCGGACCCGACTGATAGTGACCCCTCCTTGGATTTTTGAGGCAGTATCACTACAGAAGTAGATTGCCCCATCTTCCTTCTGATGAGTGGCTGGTGGGTTTGAACCACCAGCCTTCTGATTAGCAATCAAGTGCCTTGGGCACTACGCTACCAGAGCTCCCATTACAGCAGCTAGGCACCCACAAAACATGGCTGACACCATTGTAGCTTCCACCACCCATCTGTCAGTTTGTCATACTTTGGTAGCTTGTATGTTGCTCTGATGCTGGAAGCTATATCACCAGTATTTCAAATATCAGCATCATCATCCATGGTGAACAGGTTTCAGCAGAGCTTCCAGACTAAGACCCACTAGGAAGAAGATGTGGCAGTCTACTTCTGAAAAAAATGGCCACAGAAAATCTTATGAATAGAAATAAACATTGTCTGATATAGTGCTGGAAGATGAGCCCCTCAGGTTGGAAGGCACTCAAAATACAACAGGGGAAGACAGGCCTTCTCAAAGTAGAGTGGACCTTAATGGTGTAGACAGAGTAAAGCCTTCAGGACCTTAATTTGCTTATGTGGCATGACTCAAAATGATAAGAAACAACTGCAAACATACAATAACAATTCGGAACATGGATGTATGAAGTATGAATCTAGGGAAATTGGAAGTTGTCAGAAATGAAATAGAACTCATAAAGACTGACATCCTAGGCATAAGTGAGCTGAAATGGACTGGTATTGGCCATTTGGAATCAAACAATGATATGGTCTACTATGCCAGAAATGACAAATTGAAGAGGAATGGTGTTGCACTCATCATCAAAAGAACATTCCAAGATCAGTCCTGAAGTACAATGCTGTCAGTGATAGGATAATATCCATACCCCTATAAGGAAGACCAGTTAATATGACTATTACTCAAATTTATGCATCAACCACTGAAGCCAAAAATGAAGAAATTAAAGATTTTTACCAGCTTCTGCAGTTTGAAATTGACCAAACATGCAATCAAGATGTATTGATGATTGGAATGCAAAAGTTAGAAACAAAGAAGAATCATTGATAGTTGGAAAATATGGTCATGGTGATAGAAATGATGCTGGAGATTGCCTGGTGTGGTGAACCCACACCAGTGGCTTCCAGCCAAAGTACTGGAGTTTAGAAAATTAAAAAAGAACACTCTTGGCTTTTCTCAAGCTGAAATAACTGAAGAAATTCAATCCTTGAGTTGCAATATTGAAGGTTTCTATGGGCAAATTATTGAATGATGCAGGACGCATCAAATAAAGATGGAAAGGAATACAAAGTCATTGTGCCAAAAAGAATTGGTTGACATTCAATCATTTCAGGAGGCAGCATAGGATCAAGAACCACTGGTATTGAAAGAAGAAGTCCAAGCTTCATTGAAGGAATTGGCCAAAAAAAAAAAAAAAAAAGAAGGATCCAGGAATTGACAGAATGCCCAGTGAGACATTTTAATAAACACATGCAATGCTAGAAGCACTCACTTATATATGCCAATAAATTTCAAAGACCTGGCCAACCAATTGGAAGAGGTCCATGTTGTGCTCATTACTAAGAAAAGTGATCCAACAGAATGCAGAAATTATCAAACAATATCATTAATATCACATGCAAGTAAAATTCTGCTGAACATAATTTAAAAAAACAGTTGCAGCAGTACATCAACAGGGAACTGCCAGAAATGCAAGCTGGATTTCAGAAGAGGACGTGGAACTAGGGATATCATCGCTGGTGTCAGATGGATCTTGGCTGAAAGCAAAGAATACCAGAAAGATATTTACCTGTGTTTTATTGACTATATAAAGGTATTTGACTGTGTGGATCATAATAAATTATGGGTAACGTTGTAAAGAATGGAAATTCTAGAACACTTAATTTTGTTCATGAGGAACTTGTGCATAGACCAAGAGGCAGTCGTTTGAACAGAACAAGGGGCTACTGTGTAGCTTAAAATCAGGAAAGGTATGTGTCAGGGTTGCTCAATCTGTATGGTAAGCAAATAATCTGAGAAGCTGGACTATATGAAGAAGAATGTGGCATCAGGATTGGAGGATATGTTGTATATGGATGGTACAACTGCTTGTTGAAAGTGAAGAAGGCTTGAAGCACTTACTGATGAAGATCAAAAACTACAGTTTTCAGTATGACTTGCACCACCAACATAAAGAAAACACAAAAATCCTCACAACTGGACCAATAAGCACCATCATGATAAACAGAGAAGATTGAAGTTATCAGAGATTTCATTTTACTTGGATCCACAATCTGTGCCCATGGAAGCAGCAGTCAAGAAATCAAATGACATTTTGCATTGGGCAAATCTGCGGCAAAAAAAAAAAAAAAAAATCTTTAAAGTGTTAAAGAGCAAAGATGTCACTTTGAAGACTAATATGTCTGACCCATGCCATGGTATTTTCAATTGCCTCATATGCATGTGAAAGTGGGACAATGAATAAGGAAGACTGAAGAAAAACTGATGCACTGAACTGTGCTGTTTGGCAAAGAATAACTGAATATAAGCTGCCAGAAGAACAAACAAATCTGTCTTGGAAGAAGTATAGCCAGAATGCTCCTTAGAAGTAAGAATGGCAGGACTATAGTCACATGGGACATCAAGCTCAACTGGTATAACATACTACACAAAACATTGTTCCGCCTCCTACTTTGTTGAGTAGCGACTGGGATCTTAAAAGCTTGCAAGCAGCCATCTAGATGCAATGATGGGTCTCTCCTCATCCAGAGCAAAGAAGAATGAAGAAAACCAAAGATTCATGGAAACAATTCGTCCTTGCAACTGGTACACCATGCAATCCCCAGCTGATATGACTATGAGACAGAAGAACTAGATGGTGCCCAGCTATCACTGTCAACCACTCAGAGGGGGATCTATGTAGGAGATCCTGGATAGAGAGGGAGAACAATGTGCAACAAAACTCAAAATCATTTGGAAAAAAATAGAAAAAGGGAGACCAGGTTTGCTGGTCTGATAGAGCCTGATGGAACCACTGAGACTATGGTCCCTAGCTGCCCTTCAGGTTTGGAATTGAACCCACACCAGTGGCTTCCAGCCAAATAAAATACAGGTATAAGAGTTGAACATGTACCTGAGGTAGATACATACCTTGGAGAGAACAATCATGGGAGAAAGAAGGGCTGTTGACACAGGGAGACAGTTCAGAGGGCAGGAGTACATGGAGGGATGGACACAGGGAAGAGGTAACTATTGGGAGGAAGTGGGAGGGAAGCTGTTGCATTGGGGTAAACTGTCAATGTCATCAGACAATGTGTATGTGAACTGCTGTATGGAAAGTGAATTTGCTCTATAAACTCTCACCCAAATCACAATGATTAAAAAAAAAGAAACAAAAAGAAGTGAGAATGGCCAGATTTTGTCTCTCATAGTGGTCATGTTATTAGGAGGGACCAATCCTTGGAGAAGGATACTATGCATGGTAAGGTAGAGAGTCAGCGAAAACAACAAAGACCGCCAATGAGATGGATTGACATGGGGGCTGCAACAGTGGGTTCAGGCTCAGTAACAACTGTGAGAATGGCACAGGACCGGGTAGTGTTTTGTTCTGTTATACATGGGGTCACTATGAATTGAAACAGATTCAATGGAACCAAACAACAACATATATCACTGATCTTCAGGATTAATTACCCTCAAATAGCTGAGATCTTAAATTTTAAATTCACAAATGCTAAGAGTGCAAACTATCTTCAATTCATTTTTACATAATGATCTCTCACCTTCATTACTGTATGCATCACTTTTGACCCCATCATTTATTTCAGTAGTGATAAACAATCTAAGCTGAAAGATTGTGTTTAATCTCATCCCCAAGTCAGATGTTGACTTTAAACATTCTCTTTGGATGAAATCTTCTGGAAATTTACAATTCAGGAGGAGACAGTGTTAAGTCATCAATTGTTGTTGTTGTTGTGTTGTTATGTGCCGTCGAGTCAGACCTGACTCATAGCGACCCCTCCTTGGGTTTCCGAGGCAGTATCACTACAGAAGTAGGATTGCCCAACCTTCCTTCCGAGGAGTGGCTAGTGGGTTTGAACCGCTAGCCATCTGGTTAGTAGTCAAGTGCCTTAGCCACTATGCTACCAGAGCTCCAGAGTCATCAATACTCACCTCAAATGTATCAGACAGCCAATGTATATCTGTAATTACTTTCTTATGTCCGTTTTCTATTGAAGAGACTGCACAGTGTCTGATATACATTACTTCTTTATTACTTCCTGGTTCAAGGAGAAACATGGGCTAGAAGAATATTACAAGAAAGTTAGGTGCTAATTTGAGGGCTGATAAATAAAGTAGTGCCTAAGGCATTTGACTGCTAACCAAAAGGCTGGTGGTTCAAACCCACGAGCCACTCCTCGGAAGGAAGATTGGGCGATCTACTTCTGTAGAGATACTGCCTTGGAAACCCAAGGAAGGGTCGCTATGAGTCGAGACTGACTCGATGGCAGTGAGTTTGTTTTTTGGTTATGTACTATAAAGGGAACAAGATTATCTATTTTCCCCTTCAGTTTAGGAAAAGATTTTTGTCTCTAAATTTAAGAAGTATTATTGACCCACTCCCTGAAGAATCAATGAGACATCTCGTTTTTGAGAGGAGTATTTTTTTGCATAGACACTGAGGGCTACATCCCCAATGTTCCTTGACAGAGAACCTTTTGATATTAAGGCTGCAGTGGATGTGCAATATGGTGGGTAAGCCCTTAGTTGGCAGTCAAATTTTTTCCAACCTTTTTAACAGAATCTTTAGCTTCACAAAAATCATAGTATATTATTATCAGAAAGGATTGTGATGCCTTGATTTTATACATAAAGAAAGGATTTCTGCTGAGGTCAGGTGACATGTCCAAAACCACAGGACTGTGATCTGGAGCCTGGATACCTGGCCCTTTTGACCAGTGCTTTTTCAACTGCGTCAGTTTAAGCAAATCACTTGGTCCCTTCATTCTATTAAAAAATAAACAATAAATATATAAAATATCTACTGGGATAGATGATGCGATTTGTTTTGTTGTGTATTTAATCAAGGGCCCTCATGAAAGTGATCCAGAACATGTCCACAAGCAGATATAAAATCTTGGGAAATAACACTTTTTTTTTTTTTTTCTTATTGAGTCTTTATTAAGCTTGCACTTTTTTTTTAAATAAGCTCTCGAATGGAAAAAACTTGAAAGTAAAAAATTATAAAAAACTAACCTTGAGCGTGACTTTTTTACTTCTACTACTACCCGTTTTAATGTTTTCTATGCGACTTGCATGTGCTGTTATATCCCACATGACGATCTAAAACAGAAACAGATATGATTACAACATATTTTTAAGAAACAGCTCACTGAATATAAAAGATTTTTTTTTTAAAACTACTGTTATATGGCCTGACAAACCAATCACCCTGAGGGATAATCCAATCTAGCCCACATTTTAAGTTAAGTCAGCTACCCCAATACAAATTTTAAAGCTAATAGAAAAAAAGAATATATTTTTTGTTATCAAAGTTATTTCCAGTGCTTTGAATTTTGTGCTCGTGTTAGCAAACACTCAAACTCAAACCAAAAAAAACTAGTGTATTATGAAGTCCAAGAAAAGTACCACATAATTTCTAAACGAGACCTCTGCTTCGGGGAGAGTTCCTCCTGTGTCTCTGAGCATGTACCATGACTGTGGGGAAAAGTGCTCAGGCTTGGAGCAGGAAACCTTTCTCCATAATTAAATTAAAATGCCCAATAGTCCAAAAAAGATTGGGAAATGACAGTTTCTCCTTAATTGAGTGGGAGTCCCTAGTGCATAAATGGTTAATGTGCTTGATGCTAACCAGAGATTGAAGGTTCGAATCCACCCAGAGGAGCCTCAGAAGAAAGGCCTGGTGATCCACCTCCCAAAACTCAGCCACTGAAAACCCTGTGGAGCACAGCTCTACTTGGGCACACACCAGGGAGCAGGTGGCAGCACGGTGGCAACAGGTACATCTACGTTCATGTCTATGTCTGTTTCCTTCAGCTAAGTTCAGTATTTTACCTCTAATATTAAAAAAAAATATTTTATACACACACACACACACACACATACATATATACACACACTTATATATATGAATATGTATATATAGGGGGAAAGAGAGAGAGAATGATATATTTATGTTTTCCAGTTAATTTCTATTTAAGTTCTGAATCATCCCCTAACCTCTACCTCTAGGAAAATTTTAGAAGAGTCCTCTTGACCCTCTTGCCCAAGAAATATTAATATTGTGGTTTCTGTTCTTCCATCTAACATTATACAAATGTGTAGTTCTAGCCTAGCAACATGAATCAATTTGCCTTGGTGGTGTGTTTTCAGTTATGGTAACAGGGTTACCTTCTGAGCACATCCAGCACCAATGCTGGGGTCTAACACAGCTTGATACCCTAGTTTCTGGCATGGTGACTGGCACAAAGCCTGTGTTCCTTCCTTCTGCTGAAATGAATCCTTAAGTTAAAAAATGTACCAATCAAAACTTATTATAGAGTGTTACCTGAATTAATAAAAAGCTGGGAAAAAAAATCTATAAGTACCTGTCCATTTATACAACCTCCAGCAATGATATTAGGATCAGTGGGACAGAACTTGAAGCAGAAGATGTCATCCGGGCTCTCCAGCATTAACTAAAACAAACCCCAGAAATTCAAGAAAGAGTGAGAAAACCTTATACATGTCAGGCTGTTTCCTCTTAATATCATGACTACAAGATAATATTAAGACACTCAAAAGCCTAAGTTTCTACCTATTTATAAGAAATGTGCATATAGAGTTCTACCTCTTGATTAGAAGCTGCTTCAGTTGAATTTAATGGTGGACATTGGCTGTGTGTATGAGAGTACATATCCTAGGCCTCCCCCTTCTCCACCTTCTATGGAAGGCAAAGGGTTTTTAGGGGATGTTGAAATTTTTTATAAACAAAACAATTATGAAACTAGTGTTTCTGAAAGGTATAGGATGTAAGCTCTGTGACATTTATGTTTGGTTCTCTGCTATTTCCCTAGGCTGGCACATACGGGGCACTCAAAACCAAAATTTATTGAATGAGAGAAGATGGAGGTGTTGCCAGTGATAGTATTTCAAATTTTAAAATAATATAGAATTCAGAAGGTAAACAAACTCAGGTTCCTAGAGGGTAGGGAGAGGACCCTGGAGGGAATGCAAAAGTGTGAAGAAATGGGTATATAAATAATAGTTAGCACCACTGCTGCTGTGTTTATCACAAAGTCAAACACCTGCATAGTTACCAGTTCTGTTTAAACAAAATGTCAAAAATAAATAAACCCCAGAAATCCATTGGTTTCCCACTCCTGAACTAAATGTTTCAAATTGGAATTGAGGTGAATGATCTTGGTTCATTTGGTACTCTGTGCATTCTAGACAAACCTCTACTTTTGAAAATAAAATCTTTTAACACTGTTTTGATTAGAACAAAGATAAATAAAATCTTTTAAAGCTACTCTTCAAAGGCGAGAAAAGGTGGGTCTCTCCTTTTCCTAATTGTCTGGAAATTAGTCACCAGACCATGGCATGGAGTGTAGTTCTGCAGGGTAGAAAGTTAGAAAATCCCAGCTAGAGCATGGTACCATTTTTCTGGCAAGTAGGCCAACAAAAAAATGCTACAGAATCTATTATTTCTATCTCTGGATCTATAATAGTCAAAGTATCTAGAATCTATTACAGTAAAACTGCCTTAATTAGACCCATTAGGGAAGAATTGGTGTCACCATGAGACAGAATCAACTTGAGGGCAACTAACAACAACAAAGGAAGAAGGGAAGCTAGGATTCATTAGGGGGAAGCCTTAACTAATTAACACTTTATATAAATAAAATGTTATTACATTTAAATACATTAAATCACTTAATCTAATAGTATAACACACCCTCCTATCCCAAGAAGAATGCTGGAAACTGGAACCTTGTGGAGCAAACAGATTTCAGCTTTATTTTATTTGGGTTGCTTTGTAATTTATTTTGGTTGAAATGGGGTTTTGTGTGTGTGTATGTGTCTTGTCTGTCAGTTTGTCATACTGTGATGGCTTGCATGTTGCTGTCAGGTTGGAGGCTATGCTACTGGTATTTAAATACCAGCAGGGTTACTCATGATGGACAGGTAACAGCAGAGCTTTCAGACTAAGCCAGACTGGGAAGAAAGATGTGGCAGTCTACTTGTGTAAAAACTGGCCACAGAAAACCTTATGAATAGCAGTGAAACCTTGTCTGATACATCACTGGAAAATTTTATGAACAGCAGTGAGACATTTCTGATATAGTGGCAGAAGATGAACCCCTCAGGTCCAAAGGCACTCAAAATAAGACTGAGGAAGAATTGCCACCTCAAAGTAGGGTTGAGCTTAATGACATGGATGGAGTAAAGCTTTTGGGACCTTCATTTGCTGATGGGGCATGATTCAAAATGGTAGAAATAGCTGCAAACACTCATTAATAAAAGGAATATGGAACGTAGGAAGTATGAACCTAGGAAAATTGGAAGTTGTAAAAAATGAAATGGAACACATAAAGATCAATATCCTATGCATTAGTGAGCTGAAATGGACAGTTACTGGTCATTTTGAATCAGACAATCATATGGTCTACTATGGTGGGAATGACAAATTGAAGAGGAATGGTGTCATATTCATCAACAAAATGAACATTTCAAGATCTATCCTGAAGTTCAACATTGTCAATGATAGAATAGTATCCATATTCCTACAAGGAAGGCCAGTTAATATGACTATTATTCAAATTTATGTACCATCCACCAAAACAAAAGATGAAGAAATTGAAGATTTTCACCAACTTCTGCTGTCTGAAATTATCCAAACATGCAATCAAGATGTATTGATAATTACTGGTGATTGGAATGCAAAAGTTGGAAACAAAGAAGAATCATTGGTCATTAGAAAATATGGGCATGGTAATAGAAATGATGCTGGAGATTGCATGATAGAATTTTGCAAGACCAATGACTTATTCATTGCAATTATCTTTTTTCAACAACATAAATGGCAGTTATACATGTGGACCTTGCCACATGGTATACACAGAAATCAAATTGACTACATCTGTGGAAAGAGTAGAGGAAAAGCTCAATATCATCAGTCAACTCAAAGGCCAGTAGCTGACTGTGGAACAGACCATCAGTTGCTCACATATGAGTTCAAGCGAAGCTGAAGAAAATTAAAACAAGTCCATGACAGCCAAAATATGACCTTCATTATATCCCACTGGAATCTAGAGACCATCTGAAGAATAGATTTGATGCACTGAACGCCAATGATGGAAGACTAGACGAGTGTGGGATGACATCAAGAACTTTATACAAGAAGAAAGCAAAAGGTCATTTAAAAGGAAAGGAAGAAAAAACCAAAAGGGATGTCAGAAGAGACTCTGAAACTTTGTCTTGAATGAAGAGTAGCTGAAGAGAAAGAAAGAAATGGTGAAATAAAAGAGCTGAACAGAAGATTTCTAAGGGTGGCTCAAGAAGACAAAGTAAAGCTTACAATGAAATGTGCAAAGAACTGGAATGATCCTTACAGGTTGTTGGAATTGAGGACATTCATGTAGCATGAAACCTGAATAATTAATATGTAAATAAAGGCCATAAAATTTTGGTTTTTAAAATAAGTTAAACCTTCCTCTTACAATCTTTTTTTAAAGTAACATTTTGATATTAAATTAGCCTTTTCAATAAACCTAATGTAAATTTTAGTTTTGCTCAAATGGAATGATTACAAATCTGAATTGAAGAAATTCTGAATTAATGAAGGTTTATGATATTAGTTGATTATAATGTATTTTGTAATTTAAAATGTTAAAGACATACACAAAAGTAGTATTTCAAATTTTTATACGACATGGATGACTCTCCTTAAATACCTGAGGATGTATGGGATCAGAGAAACTCCAGAAAAGAATGAGTGATGGCTGTAACAGCAATTTGCCAGAAAAGTGGATTCTCTCTTCAAAAGAAAGCCGCACAGCTACTGACACAGCTATTAGCCCTGAATGAAAAACAGTTAGAAATTAAAATCTCCAATAACTGTAATAATACAGAAGTGCTTTTAGTTTTTGCTCTTCTACATAATCACTATTCATTTCCATTTTGATGGAATTGGAGTGAAAATATTGCACAACAGGCCAAGACTTTTCTTAGAGCTGCACTAACTAATGTGGTAGCAACAGTCCCATGTGGCTTTTGAGTATTTAAACATGACTAGTCCTGAGGATGTATGGGATCAGAGAAACTCCAGAAAAGAATGAGTGATGGCTGCAACAGCAATTTGCCAGAAAAGTGGATGCAGCAAGATGGGGCAGTTTGCTTCTGTAAAGATTTACAGCCTTGGAAATTCAATAGGGGTCTCTATGAGTCAGATTTGACTTGATGACAGTGAGGGTTTTTTTTGTATTATTATACACACACACACACACACACACACATGTATGTATGTATGTAAGTTAATTTCACCAGTTTCTTTTATGTTTTACTGTGGCTACTAGAATTAAAAAATACATACATTACTCATATTATCTTTCTTTTAGACAGTGCTGCTGACTTGGAGAAATTTAGCAGAAATATAGCTGGATTTCTAAGGTGTTATTTTGTTTATTCAATTACAGAACTGATGTGTAATGTTGCCTGGCAAGCAGTTTTGATAACCCAAGCCACAGTGTTTTGTGAGCAAGAAAGGCAGTTGGGCTGGTCTCTCTGAAAAATAACAGCAGTAGCAATAACAATAATAATAATCTCACACTGACTGAATCCTGACTATGTGCCAGGCAAGGAGTTCTGGTGGTGTAGTGGGTAAGGCATTTGGTTGTTAACCAGAAGGTTGGTGGTTCAAACCCTCCAGCTGCTCTGCAGAAGGAAGATGAGGCAAGCTACTTCTGTAAAGATTTACAGCCTGGGAAACCCAGTGGGGGTCTCTATGAGTCGGAATCCACTCAACGGCAGTGGGTTGGTGCAGTGTAGTAAATTACTTAGTATGGCTTTTCTACCCATAAGTCATTGTAAACTCAGTGGTGGAATGAGCAACTGAGGAGCTGATTGTAAATGTTATCCACCTGGGTTATTTCTGTTGGGCGTGGCACAATACAATGTTCTGGGAGGTGCCCACTCTCTCTCAGGTGCTTAGAGTTCTGATGCTGTGATTGGCTAGTTTGACCACACTGCTGGGCTCAAAAGGAGGCCTCCTGGAGGCAGAACTCTCTCTCTGACTGCTGGTGGAGGAAGACGTGCTGCTGAAAGAGACACGCGCCCCTGAAAGAGACATGTGCTGCTGGGAAAGAGACGCGAGAGACACGCATTGCTGAGTGAGACACCGAGGGACCAGCACTGCTGGGAAAGAGACTGTGAGAGACTCTTGGCTGAGGGACAGTGGGCTGGGAGAGAGACTGAGCGTTCTTCCTGAACTTGAGTTGTAGCCTGGTGCTTCCCTAATAAACCCTGTAATCTGTGAGTTCTGTGTGGCCACTGCAGTGAATTATCGAACCCAGGAGAGAGGTGGTGGGTACTTTGGGAGGAACGGTTGGTGAAAGGGCTGGAGGGAGGCAGCATGTTTGGCCTTGCAGTAATAGGCCTTGGGTTACTGCTGTCTTCCTCTTGTGAGATTAGAGGAGGTCAGAACATGTGGCCTCCTTGCCGTTTTCGCAGTTGGGTTGTTGGCTGGATGTGCCAGGCACTATGTTTCATAATCATTATCACATTTCATCTTTGTAGACCAGGATAGTTGGTCACCCTATATACACCTACCACATGACTCAGCCATTCCACTTTGGGTATTTACCCAACAGAAAGGAAAGCACATGTCCAAATAAAGACTCCCTGAGTTGAGCCTCAGAACTCAAATTGCAAAATGGAGATAATAATGCATGTTCCACAGGATTGCTGGGGGGACACATGGCTGTGAGAATGTGCTAAAAGTGACTGGTAGGTGCCTGGCACTCAGCAAATGGAAATTATTTTATTGTAATTGAGTTAGTTTACAAGTTTATATATAAAAAACTTCAATGACATCTGAAAAGGGAATCCTAGTCATTTCAGTCTCACCATAGATAGTTGGATGCCATGAGACACAGGTAATGGTTTTCTCTGTTAGATTGTGAAGGTCGGTAAAGGACTGATACTCTTTCAGGTGAGTATCACTCTTGTCCCCAAAAGTGCCTTCTTCTTCGGCCAGGTTTTTCCAGTCATCAATAAATGTGTTCATGATTTCATTTTGTTGCAGGGCTATTTCAACACTATTTTCATAAAAGGAAAACAATTTAGATGTTGAATTTTAGTCAACAATATGAGTACTTTAGAAGAAGCTCTAGTGGTACATATATATGCATATAAATATATACACATATAATACATGTAATTCAAAACAACAAATAAGAGTTTCTCAGCAAGGGTAGAAGCAGCTCTGGTGGTGCTGTGGTCAAAGTACTGGGCTGCTAATCAAAAGACTAGTGGTTCAAACCCACGAGCTGCTCCACAGGATAAGGATGAAGCAATTTGCTTCTGTAAAGATATACAGTCTTGGAAACCCTATGGACAGTTCTACTCTGTCCTGTAGGGCCACTATGAGTTGGAATCAACTAGATGGCAGTGGATTTGCTTTGGCTTTATATGCTTGAATTTGAAAGCTCAGATCATTCTCAAGACTTTTTAAAAGGTTTTAAAAGGTTTTTAAAAGGTTTCTCACAATTAATGTCACCCAAGGTTTTACCCTAATGATCCAAAGTTCAAATATCTTCTATACAAAGGTACCATTTGATACCTCTTGGCATTAAATATTAATGGCCACTATTGACTGCTTAATTGAATACTGTTTTGGTTAAATTATTTTTGTATTCCATCTTTCAAAATAAGAACATTTTCTAGGACCTTTCTACTTAAAGTGTGGTCCACAGACCAGCAATATCAACATGATCTGAGAGTTTGCTAGAAATGCAGTCACAGATCCCCACCCAGACCTACTGAGTCAGAACCTACATTTTAACAAGATCCCCAAGTAGTTTGTATGCACATTAAAATTTAAAAGCCCTGTTCAGAAGGAGCTCTGGTGGCATAGTGGGTAAGACATTTGATTGTTAACCAGAAAGTTGGTGGTTCAAACCCACTAGCTACTTCATGGGAGGAAGATGAGGCAATCTAAATCTGTAAAGATTTACAGCCTTGGAAACCCAACGGTGGTTGCTGTGAGTCAGAATTGACTCTATCGCAGCGGGTTTAGTTTTTTGTTTATTTTTGTTCAAAAGGAGCTTCAAGGTTTAATGCAGTTTCGGTAAAACAGCTAGCATTTCTAAAATCTTATTTCTTTATGTTTCAGCCTGAATAAGAAAGGAATTCTCAAGAGAGAAGTTGAAGACAGGGAGTTTACTCTGTTTGCTCCAGATTCTTCTCTCTTAGTTGGAATGGGGAAGTAATTCACAAGGGAGAAGTGAAGGTTTGCTGTTTCTTGATTTTCCTGATTTACCATGTGGTTCCTGAGAGATGGGAAGCTAAAGAAACTGTCATCTGAGTTAAACCCCAGTAATATCAATTCTTTTTCACTCCTAAGTGAAAATTTCTTAGTGGCTTTGCAAATCCCCTAGAAGTTCTCTCTCTCCTTTCAAATAATTTCCTTCTTTTGAAAATAATGGGCTTTCTTTTGGATAAAACTCAGAGAGAAAAATCTTTAGAATTAATTTCTAAAAAGGCTCTATTCCAGAATAAAACCAGGCTTATATTAATTTTTAAAATTAAATAAACCTAAAACAGTTTTACAGTTGAAAGTATGGCATATATACACGAATGTGGGTTCCTTATTTATCTTGGCCAAAGGTATTATAATTCCTGTGCCAATTTCCCTTTCTCCTTACAGTTCTGGCTTCTCCTTCTCACACTTAGGAGAGAATTACAAAGCTGTTCACTGTTTCTTTTCTTAGAAGCATGGTAACTGAAAGGGAAGAAGAAAAACCAGGTCTAAAGATAATACACAATGTGGATAATTGAGAATTGACTAGAGACCATTTATTTTGAGCATTTTAATTTTTTCAAGGTTTTCCCTTGAAATAGATCATACATAAACAGACTTCTCATTTTTAATGTTTTTATCAGGAGAACTTTTAATGATTACTTAATTTTGTCAGAATTGATTCCACAGTAATGGGCTGTTTTTCATTTAAAAATTTTGAACCAGATTCTCCCTATGCAACTTTTGAGAGTTGCTGGAATTTTCGAGACATTTAATCTAGTCTGAAAGAACTAATGATATTTTCTTAAAAATAAAAAGAGTTTAAATATATATGAACTTGAATATTAAATTTTAAAATAAATTTTTATTAAAAAAATGCAAACCAATTATTGGGTACAATTGGCAGACTAGCACACTATTTGTTCCACCTCTCTGAACTCTGATAATCCAATGAGACCTTGTTAAGCTCTTCCTCTAGTTTGGAAGCCCCATGGCTCTGCCAAGGGTCCCAGTACTAGTGTAGGGGAGTCTTGAAGACACCTCTTTTTCAGAGCCAATAAGAGTAATAGCAACACAGCAAATAGTGATAAAGATAAGATATCCCAAAGTCCATCTAGAGTTCAGGTTGTCATTTACAAAGATATTTTTTTGCAATTTCTTATTATCATCATCATGGTCATCCTCAACATACAGAGCATGACAGCATCCGCATCCTTGTCATGTTATGAAAGTCAATGATGAGTTATCCAAGCTAAAAAGGGAAGTGAGGAGAATACTCAAGCAAAACATTCAAATAAAAGAAATAATGATATATATAATCATTAATTTGCAATTAGGAAAACATCTTCCCACATTTACCTGTATATGCTCTTACAGGTTCACATCTATCTTGATATTGTATATAGAATTATTTACTAAGACTTATTATGATAAGAAAATACATAGATTTTTTTTAACTTAATGTACAATATTTACCTTACAGACACATTGTTAAGAAAATCAGTCAAAGATTTTGATTGTCCGAGTGTCTCTCTTTCCTCTTCTGAGAATTCTCTTGGACAATACTGTGTACTAGCATTTTTGGGATATGTCCTAATATGTTAAAAGATTGAATACCAAAAATTAGATCAAATAAAAGCAAATATAGGTCACCACAGTTCAAAGATTTGCTTGGTGATAATAAATTAGGATATTATTTTACATTCACATTTTATTCATTGAATATTATGTTTTTTTACCCTAGACTAATGATGATTTCCATTCAGTCTATTTGTATTTATCACCAACAAAATTTGGTTATTTCTACCACCTTACTGTAGACATTAAAGTAAACATGTCACCAGGTTTAATTGCAACAGGCTCCTGCCTGGGCAGTCTCTTCTCTAGACTGTCTCTTCTCTGCTCTATGAGCCACACTACTTGGCTCATCTTATTTAAAAGGTTTTCCACCCTGCCTCTCCCTTGTTTCAAACTGTACCACAGTTACCACCAGCCACAGAGAATCCACTTCTCTGTCTGCTTTCTACTACCTTCTTTACTTCCTCCACCCTACCCAGGCTGGTTTCCTCATGGTCCACACAGCTATTTTTCTTACCCTCTTGAATTGTTCAGTTAATCCCCCCACCATCTAGGCTGTTTTCCCTTTCCCTGTGTCGATAAATCATATTCAAAATTCATGACTTATCTTCTGTAAATTTGAAATTATTTAAAAATAAATTCTTAAACACTATTTAAAAGATGAATGGCTTAGCTAATATGTCTTCAAATTTATACAATTTTCAAAGTCTAGCTTAAGTCCACAAAATATTTCCTCAGCAATGCATTTCGTATGAATTAATTCTTTGGGTAAATATTATTAGGGAGCTCTGGTAGCATAGTGCCTAAGGCACTTGACTGCTAACCAGAAGGCTGGCGGTTCAAACCCACCAGCCACTCCTCGGAAGGAAGGTCGGGCAATCCTACTTCCGTAGTGATACTGCCTCGGAAACCCAAGGAGGGGTCACTATGAGTCAGGGCCGACTCGACAGCACATAACAACAATAAATATTATTAAGTGCTTGCTGTGTGCAAATGATATGATTTGAACCCTCAAAGTACTCTGGGTCTAGGACAGTGTTCTGGCTACCTAGTGCCGCTCTGACAAGAATATACCACAAATGGGACAGCTTGAACAAACAGGAGTTTATTCTCTTATAGTCTGGAGGCTTTAAGTCCAAGTTCAAAATGCCAGGCTCTAGGGGCTGTGTGAAAGCCCCTTGACCCTGGGCTTCAGCTCTGCCTCCTGCTCCTGGCCCACTGAAGCTAGAAGCATCTCTTCATTCAGGCAGCTACTGGCTGCTGAGGCTAACAAGCCCAAGGTCGACAAATAAAATGGCACAGTATTGATGTTACCAAAACACATGGCAGGCCATTAATTCAAGTCCATTGAAAGTCCCAAGGTCGCCAGAGTGAGCCCCTCCAGCTCCATGTGCTTTTGATTCCAATGGCCAGCAAGGCTGCCACTTTTTGGAGGACTGCTCTAGGGGTGTGGACAACAGTTTGTCTGCAAGTATGAAGAGCAGGGAATGATTGGTATTTATGTCTTGACCAATAAGCAGATGGCACTCATAAGGCCTGCTCTCTTGCCTTGGTTTGGGGAAACTATGAGGTGTGATTTATAATCCGTTGTTCAGGCTGCTGAACAATGACACAGCTACATGCAGGGTTCAAGCATGCCATAGGCTCAAGACTATCCCCAAGACTTCTCCTTATATACAGGAAACAGATCACATCCCAAAGGCAGCTACTCAGCTGGCTGTGGTAGATCCCACCATGGAGCTGATTGCCAGTCTCATCATGGGGAATAACTACCAACAGCTGCCCAGCCACTCAACCAGGCCCAGCCAAGTTGACATACAAATTTAACTACCACAGACAGACAGATAAATAAATAGAGGAGTACAATGTGAGTCTTGAGTCCTGTGATAAAGAGACCTCTAAGATGTAGTGGGGACCCTTACAGGGGATTGATCAACTCTACCTGGTGGCTTCAACACATCTTCACAGAGGAAGGAGCACTGAACTGGATCTTCAAAGAAGAAAACAGGTACCTCATGAAGACAAGGAAGTGAAGGGCATTTTTTGAAGAGGAACAGCATAGGCAAATGCAGGAAGATAAAGAAGAGCAAGTTTCCTTGGAACTGGAAGCGGCTCATCTGACTAGAATGTTAAGCACTTTTCTGGACAGGCAGTCAATGCTAGATCATAGAGTAAGGAGGACCTTGTATGCCATCCTAAGGGGTATGAATATATTTCTGTAAGTGATGGGGAGCCAAAGGAGAGATTGAGGCCAGGAAGTAACATATTTCAATGTTATGTTTAAAAGTGATCACTCAGGTAACAGCGTCGAGTACATACTAGAGTGGAAAGAAAAATTAGTTAGGAGGCAATTGTAATGCTCCTAGTGAGAGAACTGAACTACTCTGTGGAGTTTTGTGTCATCATTGTCAAACCATTTCTCTTATTCTAAAGATCTCTCAAAATATTCATGGAAGTTGCTAGAGTTTACTGAAATTGGCTTTCAAAATACATCAACTCACTGCACACTTACCATTTTGTCTGAGTACTTATGGTATTGATTTTGGGAACGACTTGCATGCCAACATCTTTCTCAAGCTGTTTAACAGTAAAGTTTTTATCTGGATAGGCTGTACATTCAATATAGGTATCTTTTACACTGGAAGCATTATGGTCACTGAACTTAATTGGTGCTCCAAATTCACTTCGTTTCCGGGTTATCATATACGTAATCTGAAACACACAAACACATATAAGCTGTAAAGGTAACATAGGTTCCTGGCAAAAAATGGATGTGTAGTAGACAACACTGGTGCTCAGCCCAGATGCTCTCAGATCCCTTTGTACACTTGCTCTGAGCCCCTTCAGCTCCATGTGATTTTGATTCCAATGGTCAGCAAGGCTCCTTCTTTTTGGAGGACTGCTCTAGGGGTGTGAGCAACAGTTTGCAAGTATGAAGAGCAGGGAATGACTGGTATTTATGTCTTGACCAATGAGCAGACGGCACTCATAAGGCCTGCTCTCTTGCCTTGGTTTGGGGAAACTATGAGGTGTGATTTATAATCTAGAGTTCCCCTGAGGCTTCAGGCAGAACCATTCCCCCTCCTGGACTTTCACCTGAGATTCCGCCCTTGCAGGGCCTTCTCCATGTCCCTGTCCAGCTGCCTTTTCCATTCTTGTATGGGGCACTTTCATATAAGTCAGTGGCACACACATCTTTTTCTCAAGGGCTGCTTCGGGGAACTCCATGTAAGGCAATGACCATTCTTTTATATATATATATATTAAAAAAACAGAGAGTTCTGGCAAGATGGCAGACCAGGCAGAAGGATTGCACAGACCCTCTTCAACAAAGAAAAGGGAAACCAATTAACACAGACACAGAAGAT